ATTCCCCCCGATTATTCATGTAAAAGAGAATAACAAATTAAAAATATAGAGGTTAGTCCCACTCTGGATTGGGAAATGGAGGTCCACGGGGCCTCAATCTTGCTTATCGAGGCTCCATTTGCAGACTGAAGGTGTTGATTACTGGCAGAATGAGCATTAGAATTCATGAACTTCATTAAGCAACATATACCTTATAAAGCGGAATGTTCTTGACAGCTTTGCACACCGCAAGGATGGCATTTGCGCCAAGCTGGAAAAAAGTAAATTGGTGATTGGTGACCTTTTGAAAATAGTAAGTGAAGTTAACGCTTAAATCTTGTTCACTTGAATACCTTCTGCTTGCACCACCCCCATTCATTTTGAGTTCCATCAAGTTGATGAACCATAAAGTTATCAATACCAGTCTGGTCTGATCTGTTGGGTCCTGCAGAATAATAGTCAAATACATTATCAGTACAATATAGCACTAGAGATGGAGCAATGTTGACACAGAGATACTCCATACCTTGCCAACGAGAGATGGAGGAATAATTGAGTTGACATTGTGAGAATAACAAGGCAAATGAGTAATCGGCATAATCTTTGCAATATAAGTAATATATACCTACCTTTGAAACACCCTTTCCCAGGTAGTTAGAGCCTCCATCTCTCAATTCGAGGGCCTCATAGATTCCTATTAAATGAAGCAAGCGACTGAAAGAAGAAAGGGAAAACAACAACAAGAGAAAAAGAGACAATATCAAGAAATTAAAATGAGGTAAGAAAAATTTGTACTCCCACCCAAAGTGAACTAGTGTGATTCTAGGATCAATGTTGCTCAAGAGGATTTATCTTTCACCCATCTTGAAAAGAATTAAGCTGCTGGGAATACATCAGGTCATGCAATTCCCCGTTTCCCCCTTCTCGATAATGGTGATGTCCAGGCCTGCTTTCAGAGATAGATACCACCCGATACCTTTTTATGATAGCTGCCTAGCTATTCATTTTTCACACAAGTCATGCTACTCTCCAGAAGAAAAAATGCCGGTAACTTCTATCATCAGCATTTCCAAACAAACAATCACCACAAAAATATCATATTTGCACAATATTAATTAGGAAATGAATTGGACTATTCTACCCTTATTTATGTCTTAACATATTATCTCTTCATTCAATATTTATTCTACTTATGTGTTATCTTCATCTTCAAGAATAATTATTACTAAGGGTAAAAAAGGAAAAAAAATAATCACTTTTGTTTTGAACTTCGAAAATAACAAATAATTTAAGACAACTATTTTTAGTAATCACTATTGTTAATATGAGACGGAGGGAGTAAAATCAATGGAGTTGTGAAAGAAAGAGTCCCACAAAATTTTTGGCAAGTAGAAACTCCCATTTCAATGACAATAATTACCGGAAAAAATTGGATGATTATGGAGAATAAAAGGTTTAGCTTGAGCCGTGTCAAGGACACTGTCCTTAAGGATATTTCACCCACACCGTGATTAATTATTATTAGGCATATCTCTAGGATTCAACAAGCTCTTCTAGTATAACTAGGAGCAGAAACAACAAAGATTGTATAAAAGAAAACCCAACACAAAAGAAAAGGAAAGAAAAGTTTTTAACTTTGTTATTTTTACTACTATCAAAAGATGAAAAACAACAAAGTATATATAGTCCAAAACTTCACAATCTGATGAAAACAATACGTTAACAATCAAAGCAATCCATTAAAACTTTTCTGTTACAAAAGTAATCATAAAGACAATGTGATAGACCATAACGTATAATAGCTATCATTAATTGTCAGATTTTAAAATCTGTTATAAAAGTTATCCATAAGATAATGTGATAAAAACTTTAACAAATAACGTATAATAACTACTATCACTTAATTGTCAGATTTCGAAAAATGAATTCAAATTTAATAAATTAGTGTTACAAATATATTAAAATAATTACTATAATAATGACTCATCAATATAATGGTGTGAAAATGAATCTAGACATAATTTTGGAATATTTCTTTTTGAGATATCAAAAATATTTTTCTATCAATCCCCCACATATCTCAAAAAGAATATTAAAAAATAATAAAAATAATTTGCTGGGTTTCACAAATGAGCATAATGCGTCGAATCTGGTGTCTCTTGGACTATAAACTAGACCTGGATAAAATAAGATTAAACTTATAGAACAACTGGTGAAGTTCAAAACTTCTATGAACCAAGAATTCTTTTGTAAGTGTAGTGTCTTATCTATCACATTATACCCGCACACACTTTGTTGTTTGTCGCGATTGTGCGCTAATAGGCCATGCACGCGCCTGGTTTTCATGAGTGCTCTAGAAATTTTTTTCCATAAATTTCAAAGGAGCGGCCCCACTCCACACTCATATAGGTCCATCGATCAAGTGTATTCTGCAGCACAGTACACCACCTATAAAAGGCTATGGATTATTAGATTAAGAGTTTAATAACTCAACATCTCATTCCTTGCAGTCTTGCACTATATACACATATACACCATAGGAAGGGATATAATTTAATAATGCAATTTGATCAACTAATGACTTGTTATTACCCATATGAACCTACTTCATGGGATCTCCAATCACATAGGTTGGGTTACCATCATAGTTGATATAACTCAAATTGGCAAAAGCCCCATTCCCCTCGATGTTTCAGATATTAATTTTCTTCCCAAAGGTTTAGTCAGAGGATCGGCCAAATTCACTTCTGACTTCACATAATCTATGGAAATAATTCCATCTCTCAGCAGCTGCTTTATCACATTATGTCTTAATCGGATATGTCTACTCTTCCCATTAAAGGATTTATGTTTAGCAATGGCTATTGCAGCTTGGCAATCATAATGCATCGACACAGAAGGTGCCGGTTTTATTCCTAGTGGAATACTTGCCAAAAGGTTCTTTAACCACCCGGCCTCATTGCCAGCCAATTCCAATGTCACAAACTCAGATTCCATGGTAGATCTAACTATTATTATTTGTTTAGCTGATTTTCATGCCACAGCACCCCCACCAAGGGTGAACACATAACCACTAGTGGATTTTGTCTCATTTGAATCAGAGATCCAGTTAGCATCATTGTATCCTTCTAGTACAATGGGAAATCCACTATATTTAATACCATAATTCATGGTACCTCTCAAATATTTCATTACTCTTAGTAATGCATTCCAATGATCATGACTCGGGTTTTGAGTATATCTACTCAATCTACACACGGCATATGCAATATCAGGTCTAGTAAAATTCATCAAATGCATTAGACTACCAATAACTTGAGCATATTTATTTTGATCTATAGCATCTCCCTTATTCTTTTTTAATTGACTACTAGCATCATAAGGAGTGCTTACAGATACCACATCAAAATTATCAAATTTTTTAAGAATTCTTTCAACATAATGTTATTGAGTCAACATCAAACTATTGCCATCTCTTATAATTTTCATGCCTAAAATAACACTAGATTCTCCCATGTCTTTCATCTCAAAATTAGAAGACAAGAAAAATTTGGTTTATGTACCAAATCAAGGCTAGAACTAAAAATAAGCATGTCATCCACATAAAGGCAAATAATAACACATGTACCATCTATACATTTTGTATAAACACATTTATCTACTTCAATTGATGAAAAACCATCATTAATCAATACTTGATCAAATGTTTCATGCCACTGTTTAGGTGCTTGCTTTAGACCATATAAAGATTTTAGCAATTTACATACTTATTTCTTGGCCAGACACTATACAACCCTCAGGTTGCTCCATGTAAATTTCCTCTTCCAAACCACCATTTAAAAATGCAGTGTTATCATCCATTTGGTGAATAAAAAGTTTATAAATAGAAGCCAAGGCAAGTAAATCACGAATCGAGAAAATTCTAGTTACAGGAGCATAAGTGTCAAAATAATCAATATTTTGCTTTTGGGTAAAACCTTTTGCAACAAGTCTAGCTTTGTATTTATCAATGGAACCATCCGGATTAAGTTTCTTCTTAAAAATCCATTTACAACCAATGGGTTTAGCCCCCGGAGGTAAATCAACTAAAATCCAAGTTTTATTTTGTAAAATTGAATTTAATTCTACATCAATAGCTTCTTTCCAAAATGAGGCATCACAAGAAGAAATAGCTTAATATGTTAAAAGATCATTATCCACAAGTGTAACGACCCGACCCGTCGTATCAGGTATTACCGCCCTGTTTTCCTCATTTATTGCTTCTTCATGTTTCATTATCAGCAACGAGTGAGTTAGAGTTGAATTGAATTGGTTTGGATAGGAAATGAGACACTTAGTCTCTTTAAGGAAGCTTAAATTGGAAAAGTCAACCGGACGTTGACTTATGAGTTCGAAGGTTCGGATGTGATTTCCGATGATCCGGTTAGCTTCGGGAGATGATTTGTGACATGGGAGCGTGATCTGAATTGGTTTTGGAGGTCCGGTGTAGAATTAGGCTTGAATTGGCGAAGTTAGCATTTTGGCGAAATCCGGTTGATATGTGAGATTTTGATCCGAGGGTCGGAATGGAATTCCGAGAGTTGCAGTAGCTTCGTTAGGTGATTTTGGATATGTCTGCAAATTTTCAGGTCAGTCGAACGTCGCTTGGTTGGGTTTTTGATCGAATGCGAGTTTCGGAAGTTTTTAAAGAACTTAGGCTTGAATCCGATGAGAATCGATAATTTTAGTGTTGTTTGATGTGTTTTGATGATTGGAATAAGTTTGGATAATGTTTTAAGTCATGTTGGTGCTTTTGGTTGAGGTCCCGGGGGACCTCGGGATGATTTCGGATGGCCAACGGGGAGTTTTTGGAATTTCATACAGCTGAAGGCATGCTGTTTCTGGTATTCTCGCTTTTGCGGGTCTTGGACCGCAGAAGCGGAGCTGTGATCGCAGAAGCGGTCCTTGAGGGCTTGGCAATTTCCGCAGAAGTGGAAGCAGTCCGCAAAAGCGGACATCGCAGGAGCGGGTGGTGACCGCAGAAGCGGTCCTGAGGATTTTAAGTTAGACCGCAGAAGCGGTTATTTTGCGCAGAAGCGGGAGCCGCAGGTGCGGTATCCCAACCGCAGAAGCGAAACCTGGCTGAGTTTAAGTGAACAGTGTTTTCACGATTTTGAAAGAGAAGAAATATTTTGGACTTCGGATTAAGGAGATTTTGGGCGATTTTTGAAGAGGGTTTCGAGGGCTATCATCAGGTATGGATTCTTAGACTTAGATTATGATATTATGGTGTAAAATCATGGATTAACACTGAAAATCCAAGGAATTAAAGGTTAAAAATGGAAGTTAGGGTTTGAGAAAACTATGATGTAAAAATGGATTTTGGAGGGTCAAACGAACTCCGATTTTGGTAAATTTTATATGTATGGACTCGTGGCGAGACGAGGAATCCGGTGATGTAAATTTCGTAATTTTTAGAGAAGCGGGCCCGGGGCTCGGATTTTGCTAGTTTCGAGATTCTTGCTAATTTTCGATTGTTTTCGATTGGGTATTGTTCCCTTGGCATATTATAATGTATTCGCTCTAATTTTGGTTAGATTCGACGCGCGTGGAGGCCGATTCGAGGGGCAAAGGCTTCGCGAGCTAGGGATTTCACCGGTTCGAGGTGAGTAATACTTGTAAATGATATCCTGAGGGTTTGAAACCCCGGATTTGCACATCATAGTGCTGTATTGTGGTGACTTGCACGCCAGGTATGAGCGTGGGGTAGAGCACCGTTGGGGATTGCGACTTGGTCCGTCCCGGTTGTTGATTTTACTGCGTAATTGACTGAAACCTACTTGATGCTATCGTGATTTGGGTTGATTACCATGTTTTGGGCTTCGTGCCGATTATTTGAATCCTTTAGGGATTATTATCACTGTTTTCATGACACTTAGCATATTAAATGATTTCAGTCCTGAGTTAAACCCTGTTTTGAAATGTGCAGTCATTTTGTTAAAGTTTAAAGACTTAAATTGCATTTTTCTGATGTTTTGAGTTAAAAGCTATTACTTGACATTGCCCGAGTGGCTCATTTGCATGTT